CCCCGGCCTAGTTTTCACAGCTGATATTGAGCTTCTCCAGCGGTTCCTTCCACGGATGTAGTCGATCTGATTCCTATGCATACCATCAGGTGAAGTCCATGTGTATAACCTGCGTTTGTGTCTCTTATAAAATGTATTTGCAATGAATAAGTCATTGATTTTACTACAATGTGCAAATCTACTGTCAAGGACTTCTTTAAAGTGCTAAAGAGCGAGGATATCAGTTTCAAGAATGAGTACCTGATAGAAGCCACGAGATTTTCAGTTGTTTCATATGCATGTAACAGCTGGACAATGAGTAGGAAAGAGTAAAGAAGAAAGAATCAATGGCTTTGAATTGTCATAGTAGCAAAGAGTAATGAAAATACCACTGTCCAAAGAACAAACAGATCTGTCTTGGAAGAAGTGCAACTTTGTTGGAGGAAGTACACTTTGGGCATGTTACGAAGAGGAGCTAGTCCTTGCAGTGGGCACCATGCTTGGAAAAGTGGAGGACTGCCAAAAGTAGAAAGGTCTTCTACAAGATGGACTGACATACTGGCTGTAACAAAGGGCTTCAGCACAGCAGAAATAAGAGAATGGTGCAGGGCTGGATAAGGTAGAAACCTTATGCTGTGTACATGGGGTCACTATGAGTTGGAGTTGACTCAACAGCCTTTAACAACAACAATAACATCAACAACAGGGCATCTTCCTTCTCTTGGGAAGGGAAATTCCCCATATTTAACTCTCCTTCCACTAAAACACTTAGGATCGCTTTGCTTTCTTGAAAACTGCTGACTTGTATATCACAAAAGAGTGAGGAAACCAGCATGCCCGAAACAGGCAGCAGTTTGCTGACAGCAATCAGTGGAAGTCTGCACAGCAACGGCAGGACTCAATTATATTTTTTTCTGTTTATTAACAGAAGCATGAGTAGAACCAAAGGGAAGAGTTGAGAGAAAGTAACGCCTGCTTACAGAAATAGTGTTGGGATATTGTTGTTGTTAAGTGTTGTCAAGTTGACTGAATTCTGCTGACAAGAGGTTATTACTTAAAGTACTGGGAGCCTGGTGGCTTAGTGGTAAGAGGCTGTGCTTGCTGCAATCTCAAAGGCACATGGCTCAAATTCACCAGCTGCTCTGTGGGATAAGCATGGGCAATCTCCTTCCATGTAATTTACTAACTCTGAAAACCCACAGGAGGGTCAGGTTTAAGTTGGTTTCAATTCAATAGCAAACAACAACAATAACATCCACAGTTCATTCACAATGGAGCACAATGCAAGACAATGAACAAAACAAGAAATAATTCTCAAAACTACAGAACATGGATGAAAACAAAGGAAATTATCTGAGTGAAGTCAGTTACAAAGGGACAAATATATAAGATTACTATTGCACTGTAATTCCACAGGCATGTAGTTCGAATCCACCAGCTTCTACAAGGTAGAAAGATGGGCACTCTACTCTTGTGCAATTTACAGCTTCAGAAACCTTCTGGAGAGTCAGCTAGGAGTTGTTTTGGACTTGACAGCAGATAACAACAACAGCAGCACTATAAAAAGGAGTTCTGGTAGCACAGTCCATAGGGAACCGCACCGCTAACCTAAAGGTGGCACTTGTTTGCCAGTTCAAATCCACCAGCAGCTTTAAAGGACAAAGATGGGCAATCTACTCCCATGTGATTTACAGCCTCTGAAAACCCATTGGAGGGCCAGCTAAGAATCAGTTTTGATTCACTGGCAATGAGCTATTTGGGTTTTTTTAAAAAGAACTATTGTTGTTGTTGTTAAGTGCTGTTGAGCGACTCATAGCGACCCTATGAAGGAGAGTCCTCAATGCTTGGGTGCCTTTCATTCTCTCTCCAGGTTCATAGGGTTTCAGGAGGCAAGCTATTACAGAAGTGGATGCCACTCCTCCTTCCAAGCTTGTTTTAATCGGGGAGCTCCACCCCACTCTCTGTCCTCATTGGGTAACTAACCATTAAAGCATCTGACACATCAGTAACAGTGTTCAGCCTCACAGCAACCACAAGTTACTATTATACTGTTATCAAAGGCTAAAGAATGGTTTGTACAGAGACAGAATCATTCTTGGAAGGTTATCATGAGAGAAAAAGGGCTACTCTCCTTCCATGCAATGAACTGCGGCTGAAAACCCACTGGAGAGTCAGCTATCAGTTAGCTCTGACTCACCAATAAACAACAACAGTAACATAAAAAGCTAAAGAAAGGTTTACACAGAAATAGAGTCATTATTGGAAGGTTATGAGGGATGATGGAAATGAGCGACAAGAAAGTAAAAATTAGCAGATAGAGAATACTTAAGACTTGAGTGAGGGGAAAGGCAATATTCAATAAGGTCATGAATGTCGTAGAGTGAAAATGTATATGGATCATTGGATGAAAAACCAATATACTCCATAAACCTCTATAATCACATTTTTTTAAAAAACCCCTCACATTAATAATAGAGGGTCATATTAGTTTTAAAAATTCAAACAGCTTAAGTACTTCTGTGACCACCAGTATCCAGATGCTTCAAGACCCTCTGTAAAGCCTCTGCCTTCATGCATTAGTGAGATGAAAAAGCAGTGTGAGTATTGGGAACAATTATGCAGAAAGATTTTAAAGTACTGCATTCCTACAAACTGTGATTTCTTCATACAAGAGTAATCAACTAGGGAATAAAACCTGCAGTGTAAAAGGGTCAGGAAATCTCTCCTTTCTCTTGAAAATGCAGCTTATTCTATGTAGGATTCCCTGCAGGGACAGAGAACAGGGGAATCAGCACTTGAAAACACATTTCTGACAGCAGGAAGCACAGCAGGACTCAAGCCTAGAGGCCCATGGACACACCACAATCCCTCCAAATGCCCCAGCCAGGCCTCTTTCCCCACCCCAATCAACCTTTTCTCACCCATAACCACACTGAGCTGTTTCACACCAAGCTGTGGCAGGGTGAAGCACCAGCTGTTCCAAGTTTCCCCCTCACCAGTTTTCTGCCGTCAGTTTCTAAACTAAAAAGGAAATGAAAAATAAATAAATAAAAGAATGACGCCTAGTGATTGGAAGGTCCTGAAGCACTTCGTACAGAAGCTGGAAATGTCAAGGTCTGGGAGTATTCAACAAATGAAAGCGGAATTATATAAAAGCAGCAACTAATAAAAAAGATTGTCAGATGCTGTGTTTCCCATCTTCCCGGCCATTACAGGGATAAAGTTATCTACGGTGAAGATCAAAAACCTTTTTCAAAATGAATACAGTTAAGCTTTATTATAAGGTTTCTTTTCTCTCCCTTTCCCTAGTTCCGCCTTAGTTTCCCCTATCTCACTCACCAAACTCCATTCCTGGATGAAAGAAACCCTGTCTTTCTTTATTTAAAATTTCTTTTCATTATTATAAGCAAGATGGTAGCGTTTAAGAGTCAGAAAGGAGATTATGGTTTGGTACCTCCTTCTTGAACCATTTAATAATTGCTGGCAATCACAAAGGAAAGCCTCCTGGCAGAGCACCTGCACCTCTAGATGGAAGGAGTTGGAGATGCACTTCCTGATGGTGGGAAAGGACACAGAAAAGGTTCTTCCAGGGGAATTTCCTTCAGCAAAGCAGAGAATGAAAACAAAATAAAAACAACAGGAGTAAAAAGAAAGCAGATATGAGGGCGTAACAAGGAGAAAGGAGATTTTAGGGGAAGAAATATGCTGTGAGTCTACTGCCATCTACACCGAACAAACATGTACCCACACTGCCAGGAGCCAAACCCGCAGAGAGAAACATGAGAGAAGCACAGAAGGGGACCAAAGAGCAGAGCCCAAAACAACGGCAAATCCACACTTTCAAACATATGGACGATTGTGGTAATTAGGGATATGGCTGGGGGGTTTTCACACCCTTTTTCCAGACTCTCAATTCACAATTCCTGTCACTACGAGCTACAGTCAGCTATGTCCATGAAACTGCATTTGCTGACCAGTTGTGAGTGTCTCATTCCTCTAGATATTACTGGGGCCGCCATCAGAATATCATGTCAGCTCTTAAAAGTCACCCACACACCTTACAGAAGATGGCTCCCCTGTCCACTGCCTGGAAATCTAGAAATCTACATATCTACTAGCCATGATGTGCTATAGGAGAAAACTCCCATGGAAATCAAGCCCCTCAAGCAAACTGCCAATTGCAAAACTCTAAAGTGTGACAAATGATTTGTAAAGACTGCCAACAACAAACTGATGGCTCAGGTTACTTGGCATACTGTCTGAGGCATGAGGGGGAAAACGTTTTTCATTAACCTCTTAAACATTCCTGCCCATGTTTTAACCCATTTTTTGGAAGAATCTGTCCTGATCAGCAAATCAAACCAAAAGAAGAGTAAGCAGGTTACTAAGTGAATTAAAAGTCGTTGCAGAGTAAGGTGAAGTGAAGAGGCATGATGATGTGTCTTTAAATCTCATTCACTTCAAAAGCTTAGCCTCAGAAAAGTAGGCAGTGTTTAGCAGGATGCACTTTGATCTCCCAACTCCCAGGAGAAAATCAATAATGCAACTTTAATATATTTGTATAGCAAGACCTCACGCTATCATTATTTTTATCCATAGCAGCTTAACTGAAATGAAGGAGTTATGTTGGTTCTCAGCACCGCCCTGTGGTGAGAGATTTTCTTTTAAAGCTTAACTATAACAGTGCTAGTCAAAGTCAACAACAACAACCAAAAAACAAAACAAAACACCAGACTAATTAAAAACTAATGATCTCATTGACTGCAGCTTGTTGAACAATTCAGCTTGTGATGCTTGCTAAGAAATCCAGGAGGGGACATGGTGGAGTCAACGGGATAGGGGCATGTATCCTGGGACCTGCCTGCCCAGCATGTTGTGCTCTCCTCCACTGCCCAACAATGATGGTGGATTCCAGTCAGACACCTTTAGCATCTGGCCCAGAAAAAAAGGTAGCCTAGCACAAGCCTTACCTTCTTTTCAATGCGTCTCAGTTGCTCCTTACAGAAGAAGTCACGGCGCTGGAGGTCTGCCTCTCTGCTTTCCAGCTCTCTGGCCTAGTTGAGAGAAAACAAAGCTTACATTAGCACTTGTTCCTCTACTGGGCAGGGAGAAACCTGCCTGACCACTTTTGCTCAAAATAAGCCAGCAGGATCTCAGGCTTCTTTCTAGAATAATCACAATAAAACAATGCTAACAGTAAGAGTTGTAGTAATAAGAAATGGAAAAAAAATATCTGTCAGAGTTTACCCATTTTCTGCTGGCTCTCCAAGGGAATGACTTCCTGTGGCACATCACTGATAAGAATTACTTTTTTTTCCTGGGATGCGTCAAATGATCCCTACACTATCCCTTAAAAGGCAGGTCAGAGTGTTCTGATCAACGATCACATCAATGAAGAAACAACAGCCTAGCAGAGGGCTAGATTACTGTCTGGGAGAGGGTGAGTTTGGCCCTGGTAGAGCCAAGTGTAGACAGTACTGTGCCATCTCTAAGGCCATGTGGCTCAGCAGCTTGAGCTGCTCACTCACCAAAGAGTCTTTACACTGAGCACCACCCATCACACTGTCTCATGTTCAGAGTCATGAGGTCTGAGATTTCAACATACTCTTCTGCTTAGACTGAACATCTGCCTTAGGGTCAGTGGGTCTGAAAGGGGGAGCCGACTGTCAACTGAGTCCAAAAGCGCAACCAGACTCCTGGAGCCAAACGGCTGTTTTACACTCCTGGAGGGAACGAATCTCTGAGGAGAAGGGACAACTGAGGGCTCACTGAGCAGCTGCAGGAAGGTGCAGGGCTCAGCTAAGGAGCAGGCCACTGCAGGCAGGCAGATCAAGAGGTAAGCTCAGCTCTACTTTTGACTGGTTGAAGGCACTTCAGTAGTTTACTTAACCCCATCATATTCCATTTTATTCAGGTCTAACATGTATGCCTGAAAGAAAAGGTGCACTGAATAGGACTGCTGAGAAGTTAACAAAAGGAAATGGGCAAAGACATACTTTGCAGAAACTGCAAAGGGGCTATGCATGTTCCTGGAGTTTCTCTGGGATTTTCCAAGACCTGGTGCCTAAGCCATAGCCTCTGCTCAACAGAATGTCTCTCCCTCCATTGACCTGATCTACAGTGATTTTGGTACAATACCTCCCTCCACTGATCTGATCAAAAGCAACTCTGGTATCTCTGAAAACTCAGGAGCACTGTATTGGTGCCTGTGTAGAAGCGTCTACCTGCTTGCCATGTGCCCGTGCTAAGTGCTCAGTGTGCTGCAGGGGCACAATTCTGAGAATACAAACTTAAGTCAATGAACTAGCTGAACTGTGAGCCTATGTCTAGATGACTTCAAACTCCCAAATCTTTTTCCTTTTAAACCATCCTCTTATCAACACAAGGGTTTAAACCATTCAAAATTACATGATAAGATTAGAAATTATTTTTAAGACCATTTCCATGGCAATGTTACCAGGAACTCTTTCAGAAAAGGAAGCAGAGGAACTCATAATGAGGAAGGAGCTGACCACATGCCAGCATCTGTGAGAAGCCAGGATCAGAGGAAAGATGCAGGAGTGCAGGGAACAGAGGACAGTGCTGCTCCCAGGGAACTCTGCAGGGACAGCACTGATGACAGGTTAGAAATCTGAGAATCAACAATTTATGACTATTTCTATTCCTGAGTCACCTGGAAGCTAGAGCAAGTGGCTATGTATTCTTTGAGTAGTTCCCCCATAACCTGTGGAATGGAGAAAAGAATAGTTACTTGGTTCCAATGTAGCTGAAGAATATCCAAAACTGCCAAGAAGTAGAAAAAGAGTATCTGGAATGCCAACTCTTCAAAAAAGCTAAATGCCAACAGTAGGATTGTGAATGCTGGGGGAGTTCTCGAAGGATTTTCCAAATTCCAACACGGAGGCTGTAGCCCAGGAATGCAAGCATGGCTTATCTGTGCTGGAGCCCAAGCACTGAACTGTTTATAAATCTTCTGCAACTGGAGGAGAAGCAGGCCAGATCCAATTAACCAGCCAGTTCAGGAAGCTCTTCCAGGGCTCTAAATATTTCACATTCTGGCCAACAGACCCAAGCAAACAGGAATATAAGAACTGAACACAACTGGCATGAAGCTTTTCACCATTCACTAGGGGCAAGTGGGACAGCATAGACTAGAGGTTCATTCATGCACACCCATCTCACTGATGTATTCAGATGTCTCCTTTAGCATAGATGTTTCCTACGCAGGTTGTTGCTGTTAGATGCCATCTAGTAGACTATTATTCAGAGCAACCCTATGAACGATAGATGGGAACCTAGCCCTGTCCTGCACCATCCCCACAATCTCTGCCATGTCCACTGTTACAATCACTATGTCAATTCATCTCAATGAATATCTGTCCTCTCTTGCTCTGACCTTCCACCTTTCCCAACATGATCTCTTTCTCCAAGGATTGACCCCATTTAACAATATGCCCCACATAGATGAGATGAAGTTTCACTATCCTTGCCTCTAAAGAGTACATTTTCCCAAGACAGCAGCCCATGGAATATTCAATATTCTTTGCCAACACCACAATTCAAAAACCATCAATTATTCTCCAGTCTTTCTTCTAACTTCCAGATGTATATGAAGCAACTGAAATATCATTGCTTTGATTTGGTATATCTTAGTCTTTAAACTGATGTCTTTGCTCTTCAGCACTTGAAAGAGGTCCCTGACAGCAGATTTTCCCCATGTAACATGTGTTTTGATTTCTTGGTTGCTGCTATAATGGGTGCTGGCTGTGTTTCTAGGTAAAATAGTCAGGAATGGGATATAAAACTAACATATAAAACAAAGAGTCCCAAACATTGTTAGCTTCCTTGAGCAAGAGAGGTTGTTGAACAACACGGGACGACACTGAGCCTAGTTTTCTGTTCAAAGGCTTCTTCCCACCTCATATGAATATACAACACAACTCAACTCAGTGGTTATCAACAGAGAAGTACCTATGTGTTTAGGAAACAACAAGTCTGTCTCCCTGGTTATGAAGGGAGTCCCACAAGGGTTCACATTATGTCCATCTCATACCAGGTCCCCAAAGCCTTCACTTCTGCCACAAGTCAGGCAGCTGTTTGAACTTCAACAAATTTCATCAACTATTAGACATTAAATATTTGTCTCTCAAATTTACAATACAATCCCAATGATTTGCTATGGGCAGAAGGTGATATACAAAATAAAGATTTAAAATGAATAAATGTAAATAAACGCATAAAAAGATATTCAACATAGTCAGAAAATATATGAAAATAAAACACCACAATGATATACTATTTCACACCCACTTCCAAGCAAAACTCATTGCCATCATGTATGGCTGCAATAAAGAAAACTGAAAAGAAAAAGTACTGATGAAGATAGAGACTTTGGAGTCCTCCTGAATTGCAAGTAGGGGTGTAAAATGGTGTAGCCACTGTGGAAAACCATTTACTGGTTCCACTAAAAGGTAAATATAGAATTTCCATAGACAAAAAAAAGGAAAAATCCCAAACTCACTGTCAAAATATTGAATTAGACTGACATCAACCCTACAGAACAGAGTAGACTGCCCCACAGGGCTGTGAATCTGTTACACTCTTTTTCCTTACAGAGTAGGCAGTAGGTTCAAACCACTGATCTTGTCAAATGCTTACTCCATTGTACCACAGGCCTCTAATGAATTAGTACATGAACCATAAACTCTACTTCTAGCTATGTGTTGTTGTTACCTACAATCAGGTGTGAACCAATTTACAGCTAACCCTCCTGTGGGTTTTCAGAGACAGTAAATAACACAGGAAGATAAAGCCCGTCATTCTCCTGTGGAGCAGCTGGTGGATTAAAACTGCAAGCCTTTGGAATGCAATGCATCTTAGGTGTTGTTGTTGTTGTTAGGTGCCACTAAGTTATGCATGAACCACAGAGACCCTATGAACAATAGATGTGAATCCTGTCCCATCCTGTGCCATCCTCATACTTTCTGGCACCCTAGAGCCCACTGCAGCAGTCACTGTGTCAATCCACCCATTTGAGGGTCTTCTCCTTCACTGACTCTCTGCTTTTCTAAGGATCATGTCACTCTCCAAGGAAAAGCTCCTCCTAGCAACATGCCTAAAGTATGTGAGGTAAAGCTTTATCAAATTTGCCTCCAAACAGCACTCTGAGAGCACCTTCTCCAAGACATGTTCTTTTGGCGGTTCATAAAATCTTAGATACAGAGGCCAAAAAAATTGAGATCAGAGACTTAAATATTTTTACACAAATGTTCATTGTGGCTATCCATAATAGCCAAAACATAATAAGCATAAATATGTTGTTGCTGTTGTTATGTGCTATCGAGTCACCTGTCACTCAAAGCGACCCTACGTACAAGAGCCCTATACCCTGCTCTATTCCTCGTCAATCTTATAGTCTCTGACACACCCACCCCCATTACCCCAGTGATGGAATCAATCCATCTCATCGAGGGTCTTCCTCTCCTGCACAGTCCCTCCACCACCCAAGCATGACATACCACTCTAAGGACTGATCCCGCCTTGCAACATGTCCAAAGTATGTCAGAAGAAGCTTCAGAATCCTTGCCTCCAAGGAGCAGCCTGGCTTCAACCTCTCCAGGACAAACCTGTTTGTACTCCTAGCAGTACATAGTATATTCAACACTCTTCTCCAGCACCACAGCTCAAAGGCATCAACTTTCCTTCTATCATCTCTAGTCACTGTCCAGCTCTCTGATGCACACCAAGTAATGGCAAAGACCATGGCCTGTATCAGGTGCTTTAGTCCCCAGACTGACATCAATGCTCTTCAGTACTTTGGAGAGGTCTCTGGAAGCAGACTTTCCCAATGAAATTAGTCTTCTAATTTCCTGGCTGCTGGTACCAAGAGTGTTGATTGTAGAGCCAAGCAAACTGAAGCTGTCAACAATCTCAATCTCTTCATCTATCCTGATGCTGCCAAATGGCCCTGTGGTAAGAATCTTTGTTTTCTTGACGTTGAGCTTCAATACATATTGAAGGCTGCAGTCCTTGACTTTCTGTAGCAAGCGCTTCA